TTTTTTTTTTTTGAGACAGAGTTTCACTCATGTTACCCAGGCTGGAGTGCAATGGCGCGATCTCAGCTCACCGCAACCTCTGCCTCCTGGGTTCAGGCAATTCTCCTGCCTCAGCCTCCTGAGTAGCTGGGATTACAGGCACGCACCACCATGCCCAGCTAATTTTTTGTATTTTTAGTAGAGACGGGGTTTCACCATGTTGACCAGGATGGTCTCGATCTCTTGACCTCGTGATCCACCTGCCTCAGCCTCCCAAGGTGCTGGGATTGTAGGCGTGAGCCACCGCGCCTGGCCCAGGATACTTAAGTAAATGCTTCTACTAACATTAGGTTTTTCTTTCAAACCCAGATCTCTATACACATTGATCAGATGTAGCAAGTTTTCGGAACTGGCTTCCACTTCAGGCGACTGAAGATCCTATATCCCCAAAAGACTATCCCATCATCTCCTCCTGTTTAAATATTACACACTGCAGTCGGGTGGGTGCCAGATGAGAAAAGCAGATGACGTCGAGTCCCTCCCCGGCAGTCGAGGAAGGAGGGTCCCGCCTGCCTGTCTGGCCCCTCTCCCCCTTTGCCTTCAGGACTACAGAAGCATCCCCTACATTAGACTGCATTCAGGAGAGGGGGACTAAGGAATTTCATTTAGAAGAAGGGGCAGGGGCTGAGGGTTCGGTCTGTAAATGCATTGGTGAGAGTGTTGACATACATCACTTCACACCTGATGGAGGAAAGAGAAGACAGGCTATGAACCAAAGAGGGGTGTACGACAGTTGTCCCTCCTGAAAGGGATGTCCCCAGGCTACTATGAGTCTATGTTTCAGTTGTCTAGTTTAAATTAGCAAGTAATCAAGTCACACAAGCAGAAGCTGTTGCGCATGATTGTAAGACCCTTAAAACAATCCTGCTGGACCTTAGAGGGAAACAAGCCTGGTTCCCCCCTCCCTGGGGTCTTCCATCATCTCTATCAGGGGATATTGGGCTGCACATACTGTTGAAATTGTGAGAAGCGTGTGAATCTGTGTGAACAGTAAACTTGCAGCCAGATGTGGTGGCTCATACCTGTAATCCCAGCACTGTGGGAGGCCAAGGCGGGCAGGTCACCTGAGGTCGGGAGTTCCAGACCAGCCTGACCAACATGGAGAAACCCATCTCTACTAAAAAATACAAATAAGCTGGGTGTGGTGGTGCATGCCTATAATCCCAGCTACTCGGGAGACTGAGGCAGGAGAATCGCTTGAACCCGGGAGGAGGAGTTTGCGGTGAGCTGAGATTGCAATGGCACTCCAGCCTGGGCACAAGAGTGAAATTCCATCTCAAAAAAGAAAAGAAAAGAAAAGTAAACTTGCTCTCTGTGAGGGGAGTTGGGGTCTGCTCCCGTAAAATGGGAGGGTGGCCTGGAGGCTCTTCTTGTCCTTAATCGTAAGCAATTTCCTGTCCTCTGGGTTCTACCCCTGCACCCTGCTGGGACCTGCTGTGGCAGCAGCATCTACTGGGGGCCTCTGAGTGCTGGGTCGCTGCCTCCATAGCAAGATGGGCCATGCTGGTCAGGGCTCCATGGAAAAAGCAGAAATAAATCAAACTGCAGCTCCTACTTAAGATCTGATGAAATTCTCCATTTCCACTCCAAATTGAATTCCTCCTGAAGGATGGGAGCAGCTCCTGGGAGTAATGAAGACCCTCCTTCCTCCTCTGCTAGAAACATGTTTTAGATTACCAGATGCAGCCTTCTAATCTGGGTGGGTAGGTACCATTCAGGAACAGCCTTGAGAAGCTGTTTTCAGACCAGACATGATATTTTTAATCTCGAGGGGCAAGGCAGCAGACATGCAATACGCTTGGCCTCTGCAGGGGGAGGCGGCCCCAGAGGTGGTGGTCTCCTGGGGAGGAATGACAACACGGGGATTATGGCTGCAAGCCACCGCCTGCCTGCCACCTCCTCCTCCTCCACCACTTGGAGCCAAAAAGAATTTATGGTGGGGAGTCGAAGCAAGAGGGCTTGTGCTTTTTGAGATTTGAAATATCACTTCCTACCCATCTCTTATTTGGGAAAAATAATAAACTATGATTTCAAAAAAAAACATGAAAGAAACGTTTTTAGGTTGAAGATATCATTGAAGTGATTATCTTCCAGTCTCTGTAATGGTGATGAATCGACAGTCTGGCATGTGTAGAGGCAGTTGACACAGACCCTTTCAGGGGAAAAAAAAGAAACAGCTTTCCAGTGCGCCTTGTCAGGGGGAAGACTGATCGCCGGCAGGCTGGCTCAGACCGTGAGGACAGTCCTGAGAGTGGGGGATGAGGGGGAGCCGGGCTGGCCCCGTGGACCCAGGCTGATGTAGGAGCGCAGCATCCTACAGGTCCATCCTGTTTTGAAGGTGGACATGAGGTAGATTATCTGTTGGAAAACAAATACTTAGTATTTTTCCTTGAAGTGAGCTAATTCCTTGAAGTGAGCTAAAGAGAATGAACTAGACCTTTCTTCACTCACTGTTGAAGAAAAGCAGTCTAAGAAAAAGATGAGGTTAAAAAAGTCTACTTAACATGAGAAATTCAGACATTTAGGGTCTAAGGGAGGGAAGGAAATTCTCCTTGAAAGAGCATGCTGTTGGTCCTTTTATGTGAGAATTTTGTCAACAGCCTTTGAGAAAGTTTATCAAAACCTTACTCTATGTTTTTGGTTTAGTTTTAAAAAGAAGCCATTTCCTTCAAAGGGAAATAGCCCCAAAGTATCCAATAAGTCAAACTCAACCTGAGAGGGCCAGACAGGCCCCGGAGGCTTTCCATTCGGTTTCCCAGCAGGAAATCTGCTTTTCAGGGAGAAGGTCATGTTTTCTGCACAGAGTGCCGTCATTTACACGGTTAAGATGCCCTTCTTTCTGAATCACGAGGATGTTCAGGCTTGGCCTCCCTCAGAGGACAGTAGGAAGTACTTTATCCCCGGCTCAGAAGAAAGGATGGAGGAGGGGAAGGGGAAGTATAGGTGGAATTCTGGCAATACTGAGCCCTGTCCCAAACACAGCAAGATGCAATGAGGCCAGGGAGGTGTCTCCAGAACACTGGAGGGTGGGGAAGGAGTCTGGGGCAGACGACAAGGACTCCTCAAGCGGAAAAAATGAAAGGGTGGGAGAAAGAAGTGCCACCCCCCACATGGCTGCTATTGTGCATTCCTTCAGGCCCTCACAGGCTTTTCTGTCTGCATAAATGGGCCCCCGGCGAGGCTTCCACACTGGGACAGACAGCAGGCAGGTCCCCAGACACTGGAGGCTTTTTCTTCATGAATAGTCTCAGCGATTTCGCAGCCATTTGCTTGTGGAAGTGTCCTGGCCGGAGTCCGCCCTCCAGTCTCTGTAAGGACCGGCACGTCTGTCTCTCTGGCTGCAGACCCTGCCCATGCAAGCTTGTCCTCGAGCCTGTTTATAAGGCCTGAAGTTCCTTCTGTTTTGTTTTAGCCCAAAGGGTGAACGGCTGCCAGCAGTATGTCTGGAATGTTATTTACTTGGTACATTTCTGTGGCTTTTCTTTGTAGCATTGCTCATGCCAGAGCCATTGAAAACGCCAGGTTGCACGGCTTGTCTTCACGGGGTGACTTTCTCAGTTAGGGGAGTTTGGTTCCTGTGTCTCCCAGTTCCTTCCTTCCTTGTCCTTTTTTTTCCCCCTGAGTTAGTGCTCTGAACAATACTGTTGGTGCCTGTTGCATTGCACCACTTTGTCCTGAGTGCCCCAACTCCGCTTATAATTTCTGGGGTTTCTAGTGCCCTCTGCGGAGCACCTGGCAGACGCTTCTTCATTTGCATGCCTGCCCTGTTATTACTTCACATGAAAGCTGTCTGTTTTGGCAGACATGACTACCACGATTGCAGTTGAGCTCTCTGAGCTGAATGGGTGATGTTGTGTAAGGGAACTCTGGGTGGGGTTTTCTCTAATGGGGACTGTGGGAGTGGAAGAGAAACCTGCGAGCATCTTGGCTTGTGCTGAGCCGACATGATGGCAAACAAATGACTTTTGAAAGGAGGAACCCGTGTGTACAGTTTCCTAATTTGGAAGGTTTCACAACTGTTTTTGTTCAACTGATGGAGGGGAGATTTTTTTAAGAGCAAATTCTTCGTTAGGAAGACTGTAAACAAGTCCTGGAAAAGATAATTGCTTGAAGGGGGAGGCATGGAAGGTATTTGATGGGTCTTTTCTTTCGTCAGCTCCTCTGCTTCCCATTTCATCTGTGCAGTTTTAATGGTGGTATTTTGGGTTTTAACACAGGTATGGAAAATGAGATTAGATAAATCTTCCTGTCTGGTGCCAGTCCTGGGGCCGTTTGCACACCTGGGTGGGTTGACTCCCTGCCTTCTTTCTCTCTCTCAGCACGATTTTGTTCTGTCATGTGGGTCCATAAGCACCTGCAGATACGATGGAAAGCTTGGCATTACACGGGCTCGCCCTTTATTCGGGCCTCCTGGAAACCTCACCCATCCCCGGCACCTGCTCGTTTGTTAACATCATAGCCAGCTCTCATGTGGAATGGAAACATTTTTGCTCCGTTCTTCTTGTTTTTTTCTGTCCTTCTGCATGACTTCTCAATTTGTTTGTAAGCTGCTCAGATGTTTGGCTGAAGGGTCTTCTTTGATCACGCTCCCGACAGCATGTGGGCTTCACACGGTCACACCTGCTCTTCTTTTAGAGAGTCCAGATTTCAGAGCAAATGCTTCCATTGCCTTGTAATTTTTTTCTGAGTGTAAAACTTTGGTGCAGGTTACTCATTACAGGTAATAGCCGTTTGATGACGGAGACAACTGCTTGGCAGAAACGGCCACCTGGACTGTAGCCACAAACATAAACTGCCACTTTATTTATGTCTGAAAGCATCTGAGCCGCAAGCCTATCAGTCATGATCTGGCTTGCACACGATAATAACAGGCTCACCAGGCTAGGCACGCTGCCCCATGGGGTGGCCACGAGGACAGGCTCTAACAAGACACTGTGCATTTTCTCCCCCATTATCCACAGCCCACACATCATGTTCCTCTCTCAGAGCATCTTGACAGGAAGGAGCCATCTCTGTGGGACCCGCCTCTGCCATGAAATTGCCCACGCCTGGTTTGGCCTAGCCATCGGGGCCCGCGACTGGACGGAGGAGTGGCTGAGTGAAGGCTTCGCCACTCACTTGGAGGATGTGTTTTGGGCTGCGGCACAGCAGGTGGGTTAAAGTGACCCTAAGCATTTCACTATCCAGAGTCAAATTCTGTTTCTAGGCATTCATTCATTCAGCACCTATGGACTGAGGGCCTACTATGCAGGAGACACAGATTTTGCTGGGGAGATGGCTGCATAAACAAGAGAGGGAAGCCCTTTCTCCCCACAGGATTTACAGTCTAGAGATGGGAGAGAGAGCAGACAAACAAGTGAATCAGAAATGGGTCAAGTGGTGGAGTACCATGAAGAAAAATGAGCCCCATAGAGGGGCAGTGGATTCTATTTTAGAAGGTAGCAAGAGAAGGCCTCTCTGATGAAGGAGATATTTGAGCAGAGGTGTGAAGAAAAGGTCATGCTATGGCATACTCAAGCACTTCTTTGTGGTTGTAATTGTGGTGATGCGTGTGTGTGCATTGTGTATGTGTGTGTGCATGTTTGAAATAAAGAGAGCAAAACATAAATCCAGAGTCATCTCAGATGTCTGCTCGTAAGTAATGAATGAAGAACGAAGCAGGGGTGGTATAGATTAGGGAATGGTGAGGACTATGGCAAACTGACTGCTGCTACTCAGCTCTAACCCATTGTCATGGTGAAGGGAGGAGGGCCCAATATAACCTATGCTATTAGCTTTTTTTTTTTTTTTTTTTGGAGACGGAGTTTCGCTCTTGTTACCCAGGCTGGAGTGCAATGGCGCGATCTCGGCTCACCGCAACCTCTGCCTCCTGGGTTCAGGCAATTCTCCTGCCCCAGCCTCCTGAGTAGCTGGGATTACAGGCACGCGCCACCATGCCCAGCTGATTTTTTGTATTTTTAGTAGAGACGGGGTTTCACCATGTTGACCAGGATGGTCTCGATCTCTTGACCTCGTGATCCATCCACCTCGGCCTCCCAAAGTGCTGGGATTACAGGCGACTATTAGCTTTTTAAGGTAATTTATAAATCTGGATTTTTATGTGAAGTTTACTAATTATTAAAAAATACCACGCGAGACAACCATACCCAGAAGCCAGAGATGGTGCACATGCCACCAGTTTGCAACTTCTATCTTAAAACATTGGCCGCCAGCTCTTTTTTTTTTTTGAGACGGAGTTTTGCACTTGTCACCCAGGCTGGAGTGCAGTGGCATGATCTCGGCTCAGTGCAACCTCCGCCTCCTGGGTTCAAGCTATTCTCCTGCCTCAGTCTCCTGAGTAGCTGGGATTACAGGCATGCGCAACCACGCGTGGCTAATTTTTTTGTATTTTTGGTAGAGATGGGGTTTCTTCATGTTGGTCAGGCTGGTCTTGGACACCCGACCTCAGGTGATCCACCCCCCTGGGCCTCCCAGAGTGCTAGAATTACCAGTGTGAGCCACCGTGCCCGGCCTGGCCACCAGTTCTAATGAGGATAAGGAGCAACTAAACTGCTCTGTGCTCACTTTCAAGCTCCTAATATTTGGGTCACTTTTTTTCCTCTGTCATCTCTGCCGCTTAGACACTGGACTGTTTGGTATTTTCCAGAATTCCCAAGTTTGTGTATACCTGCATGATTTTGTTCAAGGTCCTTTGTTGAAATCTTACTTAATTTTCGCTAGGCAGCTGGAGGTCACCATCTCTAGATAGCCCAGACTGATGACCCGACTCACAGTTCAGCACTAGCCACCTATACACTGTGGGTTCTCACAGTACTTGGTGCTTACCTGTTTCCTCATTTTTTTTTTTTCCTTTTCCTTCTATGTCATTTCCTTGTCCTCACATCTGGACTATGACTGCTATTTATACTGGAGCTGGGTTTTGCTTTTCACACCCTGGCCGTGGACCCAGCAGTGTGCACATCAGTGTCTCCTGCCACACGGAGTCCTTTGAGGAGAGGCCACATGGTAGACACAGGAAAGGTGCCAGGCTCTGAGTCAGACAGACTGCCAGTCCCGGCCCTGCCGTTTACCGGCTCTGCGAGTATAGGTAGGTTAGGTCGCCTCCCCAGGCCTCTGTTTCCCTATTTGTAGAATGGATACAACAATGCTGAGGCTTGCAGGGTGAATGGGATCAGGTGTGAATGAGCTTAGCACAGCGCCTGACATGTGGAGAGTGTGCAAGAAATCTCTGTTCCCTTCCTCTTTATGTTTCCCTCTGCCTTGTACACAGACACTCAGCAGGGGGTGCCTCTATCGCCGTCTCTTCCCTGGAGTGCATCCCTTCTGAGACTATCAAGTTTGCGCTGGTCCTGGCAATTGTAGTGCATTTCAGGCGTCTGGTCATGACACCTCTTTCTTTTATCTCCTGCCTCCCCCAAAGAGTGCCCCTCCTTGACCCTTTTCTTTGCCTAGGTTTCTAGGAGGCCACTCCTTAGTCTGCTGGCTTGATCCTGCCTCTTGACTGATAAGTTTGCTAAAAGAAGTGAATACCAAATATCCTGAGTTCCCAGGTAGGGGAGGACAGGTCTGGGTGGGTCCAGAAAGCCTTTGTGGAGGTGGTGGTTTGGCTGTGAGCCTAAAGGGACAGCAGGAGCTAGGCTTTCTCTGTCACTCCTTTCCTTTAACATGTTAAGGGTCAGCCCCCTCATCATCCTTGGAAGTGTGTTCAGTAAATCTTTGAGATGCAAAAACATGAACACCCCTGAGGCAAAATGGTCATTTTAGATTCCAGCACAAAGTTTGAGACATTTCCAGAGCACGTCTGCCAGGGAGACCTCTCCCTTGAAGGGTGAGACTGAGGCTGTTGCTGGCCCTGGCGAGTGCCTGCCTCAGACCTTCTAGGGAGTAGGGGAGTGCCCTGTGGGGCAGGGGTGGGTATGCCACCTCCTGGGCTGCTCCTGGCCAGCAGGCCCCATGAGGGTGGCGGCGGTCACCGGGGTCACTTTGCCGCCTGGTAGACTGCGCTCTGCAGCACTGAGTGATAGGAGCCAGGGGTGGGGCGTGGTGGGGCGGTGGGCGGCATGTGAAATCCCAAGAAGGACATGGAGACTACCATCCACTCAGAGAGGCACCACAGGGATTCATGAATCGAGTCAGTCGCAAGGTTGGATGGTATAACTTGTCATCAACCTAGAGAAAGTCTAAATGCCTTCACAGACATATTAGTCTACTTGGACTGCCATAATAAATACCAGAGACTGGGAGGCTTAAACAACAGACATTTATTTCTCACAGTTCTGGAGGCTGGAAGTCCAAGACCAAGGTGCCAACAGGGTTGGTTTCTGCTGAGGGCCCTCTGTCTTCCTGGCTTGTAGACAGTCACCGGCTACTTTTTCTCTGTGTTCTCACATGGCCCCTCCTCTGTGCTTGCGGACAGAAAGACATCTGTTGCCTCTCCCTCTTCTTATATGAACACCAGCCCTATAGGATTAGGGCCCAACTCATGACTTATTTAACCTTAATGACCTCCTTGAAGGCCCTATCTCCAAATACAGACACACCAGGGTCAGGCCTTCAAGACGTCTATTTTGCGGAGACATAGTTTTGTCCATAACAGCAGGCACATGGGGTCTGAGGATCGAGTGGCCTCGGCCAGCTTCCCTGGCCCTCGCTCCCTCCCGGAATGATAGTCTGCTCTGGGCTTGACCACGTCCCTTGCCTTCTCTAAGCACGTCACACATCTGCCTGGCCCCATGTGCCTTGCAAATGCTTTCTCTCTTCCTGAAATTCCTCCTCCCCAGCCGACTCCTGCTTCCCTGAGGACCAGCACTGTCACCACCACCTCCTCAGGAAGCCCTAGTGGGCAAAGGGGCATCTAGGTTCTTCCTTCATCTCTCCCATCACCTGCTCTCTGATGTTAGTATTCCTCCCCCATCTCTCCCTCCGTTGGCTGCTCTCCCAGGCCCTGTCTGCAACATCCCCAGGGCCAGGCAGAGACTCAGTAAATATCTGTTGAATGAGTTATAAGGAACCTTTGATTTCCAGAAACACCCGTGAATAGATGTCTCCCTCCCCAGTGGGTGCTGTGCTGCTCTCCCTCACAGAGGTCTGGGCCATGTGGCTTGGTGAGCACACCGTGGGACAGCAGCTGGTTCTGACTCAGTAGGGCAGAGTGTGACGGCCTCCCCTCCCCTAGAGTGAGTCCAGGCAGCACGTCTTCTAGTGACGTGCACACAGAATCATCTGGGCTGCATTAGCAGGCCCCACTGGAAACAGTCCTTAACAAAATTGAGGGCTGCCGAAAATCGCAGGTGAGCGGTGGGGCCTTCCCCACCCTGTGCAGAAAGACAAAGCAGGAAAAAAGGACTGGATGAGATCAAAGTGGAAATGGCCCAAGGGAAGCCCACTGTCTCCAGACCAGGTGTGTGTCAGGGGGATAAGTGGGTTCCAGAGCAAGGCGACCTCCGCCAAACAGCAGGCCCAGCTCCACCACCAGCAGCACAAGCGAGCCTGCACGGTGGATTTTTTGTTTTAGGCACTGGGCTCTGGCGGCCCTTAGGTTTCTGATGGGAGCAAGGTGAGAGCAGGGCAGGCTATGTCATCCCCACTGAAACAAAGCGAGCCATTTCACCAGGACCACAACGGTGACTGTGTTTTGTGCACATGTGTGTCTGCGTCTGTGGCTAAGCAGCTGGACCCCCGTGAGGCCCGGGAGCAACAGGAGCTGAGGGCTTGCCTGCGCTGGCGTCGCCTCCAGGACGAGATGCGGTGCTCCCCGGAGGAGATGCAGGTGTTAAGGTGAGGCTCCATCCCTTCCTCTTTCCTTCAAGTCACCTCCCGGCCAACTGACTACATCTGCTGTGTTTCCTTTTTAAATCAAGTTGGGGTGTGCTCCTTCTCCCCCCTGATGTGATGGTTATGTTCTAAGTCTTTCAGAGTGTGCATTTTGATTTGCCTTCTGACATTTTTCTGGTGACTCTGTTTGGGAAAAAACTAGCATGGGGCCATTTCCGGGGTCAGGTCCTTCATTTGAAGTCCTAATAGTCACTTCATGTGGTGGCTGTGGACGTGGTGAGACTTGGGGTTTGGCAGCCTGGCAGACAGTAACCCTACAAAGCCAAAGGGGGAAAAATCTTTAGGAAAATATTGATTTCTAAGTGTTTAGTGGTCACAGATGTGTGTGTCAATGGGGCTTTTGTTTCCACTGTAGCCCAGCAGGAAGCCTGTGCTGCTCTCCCCTGCAGCAGGATTCCACAGCCGGCTCCTGAATTTTGTTTGTAGACTGTGGCTTGTGGCGTGTGCAAGATTATTTCCTGCCATTATTTCGTGCCATTTTCCATGTTTGTGCCTCTCTGCTTTGCTCCTTTTCTTTGCCAAAGGGTTATCTGAAAGCTGGTGCCTAGGCTGTGGGAGCACTGTGGTCGCATGGCAATAGAAGCCTCCATCCACCCCTTCTTGACTAGACTCAGGTGCTTGAAACCTGCCATCCAACAGGTGGGGAGGGACAGCCATCCAGGAACTGCCTCTCTCCTCGCCCGTTCTTAGATGGCTACCCAGAAGGCCCCTCAACCTTCCTGGGCAGAGGCCCGCCTTGGATGGATCTGCTGTTGTGGTTTGTTTTTAAACGAGCACCCCCACTCCGCCTGACTGAAGGCTAATGTAAATGCACCCCAGGGAGGGAGCTGGCTGGGGCTTTTGTGCAGCACAGCAGAATGTCAGGTGTGGCAGGCTGCACCCTTCCCACGGCAAAGTTCCCTGTGCTTGCACGCTAAGGCGGCCTCCCAAGTTGACTCATCCATTGTTTCGGAAAGGCAGATCTAGCAGAGGGAAGTGCAGCGGGCCAGGAGCCAGGAGACCTGTGTTCCCGCCCCAAAGCCGCTGTTCCTGCGTCTGTTCCCTAGACCAATGCTGACTGAGCCAGGCAGGACAGCTACCCCTATGGCCAATGTGGACATGGCCCTGCTGTCAAGGAGCTTCCACTTAGCAGGGACACGGCCGCATGTACCGGCCGGTCACAGGTGGTTCGCAGCGTTGTGAGCAGACCACTCAGTGCTGTCCATGCTAACTGGAGGGCAGCAAGTAAGGAGGTGGGGGAATTTCTCTCTGAACATGACCTGCCTTGTCCATAGCCTGCCTGAGGCAGGAAAGGCCTTAGTGTGCCTTGAGGACAGAAAGAAGGGCAGTGTGGCTGGAAAGAGGGCCGAGGGCAGGGCCAAGAGAGGTAGGCAGAAGCCAGGTCACACGAACCTTTCTCCAAGTTTTGCAGAAGCTGCTCCAGGACCTTCAGCAGGAAGGTGGCATGATCTGCCTAGTGTGTACAGTGCTGCTCTGCTGCTATGTGGAGAGCACGGCAGGCAGCTGACAGAAAGCCAGGAGGACGGCTGGAGTGTTGCAGTGGTCCACACAAGAGGCCCTGGGGAGGCAGTGACAGATGCAAGAAGCAGATCTTTTTTTTTTTTTTTTTTGAGATGGAGTTTTGCTCTTGTTACCCAGGCTGGAGTGCAGTGGCACAATCTCGGCTCACTGCAACCTCCGCCTCCTGGGTTCAAGCAATTCTCCTGCCTCAGCCTCCGGAGTAGCTGGGATTATAGGCACGCATCACCACACCCAGCTAGTTTTTTTGTATTTTTAGTAGAGACAGGGTTTCACCATGTTGACCAGGATGGTCTCGATCTCTTGACCTCGTGATCCACCCGCCTTGGCCTCCCAAAGTGCTGGGATTACAGGCGTGAGCCACCACGCCCGGACACCAGAAGCAGATCTATTTGAGATGTGTTTTGGCCATGGAACTGGCAGGTCTTTGGATGATTGAATGTGGAGCAGAGGAAAATGAGTGTGTCCAGAATGACTTTGAGGTTTTTGAGTCGAGCAGTTGGGTAAATGGTGATCCCATTTATGTGATGGTAAAGACATGGGGAGGAGCTTGGAAGGAAAATAACGTTTCCAGCTTTGCATGTGTTGTTTGTGGTGACCAGCAGATATTTAATATTATGAACTTTGGAGACTGCAAGTCAGGAGCTCATTGGAGAGACTGGGACATTCAGCCTATAAAACCCTTTAAATCATGAACACAGTGAAATCCCCAGGGAGAGGGGAAAGTGAGAGAAGAGGTCAGGAGGAAGAAGGGGAGCCAACAAAGAATTCTGGGGAAACCATCATGTGTTTCCCCAGAGAAAACCAGGGCACCAGGGCCATGGAAGCCAGAAAAGAAGCCAAGGGAAGCAGGTGGGAGTAGCTGGTGTTGGATGCTGCCTGGGGGGTGAAGAGGGGTGAAAGAAAGAGAAGTGGGACTACCTGGCTGGTGGAAAAGGAAGCCAGGCCCAAGTGGACAGAGCCAGTGAGTATAGCCAGTGAGGGGTTGTGCTGCCTCAGGAAGCAGGACTGGGAAGGTAGCAGAGGGAGATGAGGGCCAGAGAGGTCTGCTTTCAGGTAGGGAGCTTACCTGTGAGCTGCTTCACTGGGCAAATCCCTTCACCTCTCACAGGTTCAGTCCCTCCAGCCAAGGGGTTATCTCTATTCTCCATGTCTCTAAGACCCTTTGATTCCTTTGGTTTTACATAACCATAGTCCTAAAGTGGGGGGTAGAGGCATCATAATTAATATGAGTTTTGATGAAATGTGTTTCCAACTTGGAAGTTAGACTGCACCCTGGGAAGCCAGTTTATACAGGAGGGGGGCCTTATCTCTGGCTTCCATGGAGTCAACTCAGCCTCTGATGGCCAAGATCTTTTCCTTTGTGTGTGAAGTTTGGAGAACAATCTAGTATTTTTAGACCTTCGTGCTAGACAGCTTTTTATGGCGTTTGCTTTTCTTTGTCTTAGTATTCAGAAATTGTGTTTGCCTAAATTTAGGCTAACCATGAATTGACTGCATTTGAAAGGCTTACTGCACATCAGTAAGGAAAATATTGTTATCAGATGCGCTTACAATGAGGAGGAAATGTTTCTGAACCTACCCTGAATTATGTAGTCTAGGTTTCGTTTACTCCCATCCCCTAGAATCCTCCCTTAAATGGACACAGAGAACCTAGAAATTATTTTAAGTAAAAGGAAGAACGAGACTTGTAAAAATTATGTTCTTAGATTTTGTTTTCAATGAGACCTTGGGATGCTCTCTTGTTTTTCCTTTTAAGATGCCCCATGGTCTTGAAATGATGGGCCAAAACAATTTAAAAGTCTTGGTGTGTGTCTTGATAGGTTTCCACGTGTTGGCAGACACAGTGGAAACTTCTCTTCAGATCTTTGCAGCACGGTTCAACATGGTTGACCACTCTCTCCTAAAAATGCTTCTTCTAAAGCACTTTCTCCTGCCGGCTTCTGTGTGTCTTGCTCTCCGGAGTTCGCTCTGCCTCCGTGGCCGGTCCTTTCTCTCTTTGCTGGTAGGTTAACATCTTTACTTCAATGGCCCAAGGCTCAGAAAGACTTAATAATGTGTCTAACCTCCTCTAGCTGATAAAGAGGAGAACAGGAATTTGAACCCAGGGATTGAAACTCTTCTCATTTCCCTATACCATATTCCTGCCTTCAAGGAACTGAGAGAGTATTTAATTGCAGTAAAAAAAAAAAAAAAAGAAAACTGTGAGTATCTTGAACTCAGGGTCATACAGGTCAGGGTAAAAAGTATCCTTGGTCCAAGCATCTTTTGTCTTTTAACACGTGAAGTATGTGTCTTATTATTTTCAAAGATACTGAGAAAAAGGAAAACTCAACATTCTGTTGGTTATAGATAGTGGAGTATTAACAAAGTGAGAAGAGGAAAACTAACATTTTGTTTGCCTCTGACTTACTAATTTTAGTAATTTATAAGAACAGGTTTCCATTTGTGCCTTCCATGCATCCATTGAGTCACGGGTCTCACCAAATGTATCTTTTTTTCTTTCTTTCTTTCTTTTTTTTTTTTGAGACAGAGCCTTGCTCTGTCACCCAGGCTGGAGTACACTGGCATGATCTCTGCTCACTACAACCTCTGCCTCCTGGGTTCAAGGGATTCTCTTACCTCAGCATCCCAGGCAGCTGGGACTATAGGCATGTGCCACCAAGCCCAGCTGATTTTTGTATTTTTGGTAGAGACAGGGTTTTACCATGTTGGCCAGACCAGTCTCAAACTCCTGACCTCAGGTGATCCGCCTGCCTCGGCCTCCCAAAGCGCTGGAATTACAGGTGTGAACCACCGTACCAAGCCCAGATGCTTATTACATTGACTTTGTTGTGTTTCCTTGGCAACAGATGTGTCTGAGGTTGACTTCCTTGTGTCATTTGTTACAGTTTTCTTGTGTTTTCCTAGCCTTCTCAGCTTTCATTGGCTGGAGAGCCTGTAATATGGCTACAGGCCTCTGAAGCAAGGCGATTTGCTCAGTTTCAAAATGTTAGGGGTCACATGAATGACTCCATGCCTTTTTTCATTTGTTAATTATTAAAGATGTCTTTCCCACACAGGAGACCCCAGGGACTCTCCCAGACTATTCCTCTCCTCTCTGGCCCTGGGCAGAACTGTTCCCCAGGCAAAGTCTGATTTCAGTGTTTCTTTCTGTCCTGCCACTGCTCTGCTTTCTCCTGTCATTCGTCCCTGCTTACAAGGTCCCCTCCTGACCTGTGCAGCAGTGGTGGCTCTTGCCAGAAATGCACGGGTGCTTCCAAAAGGCTCGCCATGCCTCCTGTCTCCAGGATGCAGCTGGATTCTGGCAGCCTCTGCCTAAGTACTTCCAGTTAGCACACTCCGACAGGCCCCAGGGATGGAAGAGCTAAGGTGGGAGGGTCAGAAGGAATCTCTGTTGCTTTTTATTGTTTGTGATTTATTAT